ATTGAAAAGCAGCCATGCAAACTGTGATCTCTCTGTTCATTTGAGCTGTTTCTTTCCCCCCCTTTTCTTCTCTCTCCCTTTTCTCCCACCCCCCTTTATTTTTTTTTTTAAACCCAGGTCTCTCCAAGAAGCACACCCCCCTCCCTGTTATCTTCAGGAAAACACTTTTCTTTTTCTGATACGTGAAAATACAGTAAGTGCCTTTGAAATGAGAGGCTTCTTGGTGAAGGCGGTTCAGGTTGTGACCTGACCTTTCGGGGGCTCCCCAGACAAGACTGGGGTTAACACATGCATATTGTGAACCAGTAAGACAGATATTCCAAAACAGCCTCCACCAAAGCACCGGAACACGCATGCAACCTCCTCGCGTGTGCGTGTGCGTGTGCATGTATGTGTGTGTGTGTGTGTGTGCTCCTACAGTTGCTGTGCTGCTGTGTGGCCACAGACTGCAGAGCTGTCTGTGGTCAGGCATCAAAAGGTCTCCTTGCTTACGACTCCTTCCCTCCGCGTCTGTACTGTGAGTCTCCCTCTGAATCAGATAACAGGGACCTTTATCTCTTTGTGAGGCGATTTGCATTCTCCACACAGGCCTCCACATTTTGCAAATAGTAATAAATTAAGCTGGTACGACAGTATCAGGCATTTCCTCCGTTGGAAGACCGAGGGTAAGGCTGAGAGCTAACAATGAGACCCCAGCCGTTCACAACCCACTGCCCCTGGTCTGAGAACGCGGGCTGGGTGTCAGGTTGTGGGGCAGAGGACGACCCAGAGTGTTCATTTGCATCTGGCAGGCGTTCTAGATGTCACTGGCTTGCCAGAAAAATCACCCAGGTCCCAGCCCCTGCGTAGGGCTCTCGCCTGCCCAGACACTGCCCTCTAATTGATTACCTATGGACTTCTGAAATTAGCGTCTGGGTGGCTGTGGGGCAAGACTCCACGTGAAAAGTAGCCACCTCCAAAAGGACACAGGTGGGAGGCGAACCTGCAGGGGCTGGGTTCCCCAGACTTCCTCCAAACAATGAGGAAGACACTGTGGGCCTTTTTTGTTGGTCACAGAAACTACGCATCTCTCCTAGCTTCCTGATTACAAGTTGACACCAACTGAGGCAGGCCACCAGGCTCCAAGCCCTGCCAATGCCCAAATGTTTGTTACCCTTCATTGGGAACCCCTTTTCCCTCTCAGCCATGACAAAGGATCAGCTGACAACTTGTCCAAGAGTGTGAGTGTGTGTGTGTGTGTGTGTGTGTGTGTGTGTCTGGAGGGGGGTGGGGAGGCTCCATTCCCACCCACCTGGTCTACCCTGAACTCTGCCTGGAGGCAGCCAGAGGCTCAGGCGTGGCCTGGAATGGAAAGCCAGACACCTTCAGAAAATCATTTGGCCTCAAGAGTTAATTAATATCAGATCTATTACTCACACAGGTTAAACTACATGCAAACTAATTAGATTTCATAATGCAGGCAATGATGGTTTTACATCTCCAGCAACACTCCATGCCCAGCCCGAGCTGGCATGTACTTAGAGCTGTTTGAAGACTGCCTCCAGTGTTTGCCTGGGCAGCAGAAGTAAGCAGCCAGGGTCTTCACCCCTTGCACTTGTTCTACAGGGTCATGGTGGCCCCTTGCCCCTTCCTGCCCCTCTGACAGCACTTCCTCCTCTCCAGGCAGTCTGCATTATTTTAGTAAGAATACGATTTTGGAGACTGCTGCCCTCGGGTTGGCTCTGCCTGGAGCTCCCACTCCTACTGAGATATCAGGCAAACTTTTCCCCTGCAGGGACGATGCCAGGGCTGCTGCTCCCAGGCCCAGGGGGCATCTCTTGCAGGCTCAACCAGGGTGCCAGAGAAAGCTTGAAGGGATGCCCCTGGGGTCTGGCAGGCCCACGGGTGGGGAGGGCCTTAGGCTCAGAGAGGGAGAGGAGAGTGTGTCCCAGCAGGGCCGGTGGACAAGGGGAACAGGCCAGAGACTGCCCTGTGGACCATTTGGGGAGGCTCTGCTGGACGCATCATTCCTGCAGCCCAGCCACCTTCTCTGTCCCGGGCCAGGCCTAATGGTGCCTGGGCAGCTGCACACAGTGCCCATTTGAGGCTGCATTCAACAGTTTGACCTATCAGGGGGAGGCTGGGATTGCCCTGGGGACTGCTAATTCTCTGGGCCCCAGCGGTGGGCCGATGGGCCGCAAGGCCCCCTGAGCATGCCAGACGGGCTCCTCCGTACCTGAGGTGAACAGGACTATGGCCTTGAGGCAGCTGTACTCGGCCGAGTCGACGTGCAGCGCCTTGAGCTTTTCCACTTGCTCTTGGAAGATCCGTATGTGGTCCATAAAGGCGACCACCCGGTCGGCGGACATGGGCGAAGCGTGCAGGCCGGCGGCTGCCAGGAGCGGGGCGACGTGGAGGGGCATGGAGCATTGTGCCGCATTCAACACGAACAGCTCGCTCCAGGTGAGGCGAAGCAGGGCCACCTGGTCCGTGATCTGCAGGTCGGGGAAGAAGGGGATGTTGCGGGCCCACTCGACGGCGCTGAAGAGCATCCGCGCGGCCAGTTCGCAAATGTTCTCGATGCCCATGATGTTGTTCGGTTGCATGCACTGGCTGCCGAAGCGAGACGTCGGGTAGGGCTCGGCGCGCAGCAGCAGGGAAATATATCCGGACAGGTACGAGTGGCAGTTGAGGGGGTCCCCGTTGGTCAGCGCGAACTGCCCGTGGGTCGGCTGGGTGGGCGGCATCCTTCCCCTCTGCACGGCTGCGGGAAGAAAAGAGACACTCCGCAGTTAATGACCAGACTCGGTCCCCACAGGTCCCCCGGCACGGTCGGCCCCTGGCCCGACCCCCACCTGCCCCCAGGCCCGGAGCAGCGCAAGAACCAGACAGGCCTGCCTCCCACAGAGCTGGGCGCCGCCGGGCGCCGGCAGCTCTCGGCTCGCTTCGCCACCCAGGCCGGCTCCGGCCGCCAGAGCTGCACATTTGCCTCCTAGGCCCGCTCGGGGCTGCTCCGTCAAGGACCCAGAATTGGCCACCTTGCCTGGGGGTGGGGGGGTCCCAGCGCAGTGGGCGGGAGGAGGCATTCTGGGGGGCATCTTTCTTCCTTACTGCTAAACAGCTGATATTTCTTATTGATTGGAGGAGAGGGAGCGGGAGGGGCGAGTCTGGGGGGTGGGGGGGAGGGCGAGACGCGTTTGCAGAAGACACAAGGGCTGGCAGGGGCCGGCCTGTGGCCACCTCGAAGCGGCGCTCCACCAGGCCTGCAGTCCCAGCCCTAGCCCGCCGGGGAGCCCCCGTTGAGAGGCGTGCGGAGGGCCCAGGTCTGGCGTCCTCCTAGCCAGTGAGCTCAGAGGAGGCGGTCGAAGGGAGAGGGCGGAGAGAGAAAGAGAGGCCGGCCGGCCGCGGCGAGAGGAAGCCGGGAAGAGGCAGGGAGCGGGCGGCGGGCGCCCACGCAGCCCGGGCAGGGCCGAGGGGGTCCAAAAGAGCCGGCTAGGCTCGGTTGCTAACTGAACGCGGACCGGGGCAGTCGCTCTCGCAGAAACACAAAGGAAGCCCGGGCGCCGGCTCGGCCCGGCCCGGAGCCCGCGCCCCGCGCCCCGCGCCGAGCGCGCCATTGGCAGAGCCCTGCTCCGGCGCTCGGCGGGCTGCACATCACAAAGACCCAACTCGCGCGGAGCGAAAGCGGCCGCCCGAGGCCCCTCGCCCACCCTCTCCTATCGCTCGCTCCCCGTTTCAAAAGTGAAAGAAGAAAAAAAAAAAGAAAGAAAAGAAAACAGAGGTGTTTTTTTTTTTTTTAGCAGAATGTTAATCTACGGAGGGTCACATGAGCGCTGCCGGGGCGGCAGCGTTAATACGGCGAAGTGCATAAAATTGCCATTTGTAATTTGAACCTCCTGTGCAAAAGTACAATCTCAGGTTGTTGGTTTTTTTTTTTTTTTTTTGAGAGGGTGGGGGCTGGGGAGGAGGGACATATGTTGAACATGCAGGAAAAACAAGGGGAGAGAGAGAGCTGGAGAGAGAGAGGCAGAGAAGTAAAGCAGGCTTGAAAACAACAACCACTACAACGGCACAAACACCACCCGTCCCTCGCGGAGAGGCCAACTCGAGTGAACTCGCAATCGGAGCGAAGGGAGCGAGAACAGCCCGGGAGGGAGGGAGAGGGGGAGAGAGAGAGAGAGAGAGTAGAGGAGCTCGGCTGGCCCAAGCATGCGGCTGTGGGGTCCGCGTTCCGGCGCGGACCTCGCGGCTCCAGGGCGCCGGCTCCGCGTCCTCACCCGAGCGCAGGGCCCAGCCAAACGCACCCAGGGCCCGGGATCCCGGGGAGGGGGAGAAAGGAGAGGCCGATACCTTCCCGTCTCATGCCCACTTTGAGGCACTTTTTGAGGCGGCAGTACTGGCACTGGTTGCGGTGGTGCTGGTCGATGGGACAGTTCCGGTTGGCGCGGCACGTGTAGCTCAGGTTCCTCCGCACGCTGCGCTTGAAGAAGCTCTTGCAGCCCTCGCACGTGAACTGGCCGTAGTGCTTAACGATATACATGTACGCCGCACCTCCACGCACTGGATATGCAGCATACTTACGCTAATTTTCGCCGGCCAGGACCGCCGGGCACAACCTTATCACAAAAGATCGTCTGTGCCAAAAAACTAAGCCGGGCCCCCCTGGCCGGGAGTCTGCGGCGTGTGCGGGGCGCCGGGCGGCGGGCCGGGCACGGGCGGCGCCTGCGAGGCCTGGCTGCCCTGGGAGCCGGGCACCTCGTCCTGGGGGTCGCGCCACGTGCTGACTACCATTGCCATATCTATGGGGGCTGCGTCCGGACTTCCTGCTCCCCTGGCTGCGGGCGGCGGCGGCGGGGCGGCGGCGGCGGCGGCGGCTCCCGGGTCTCGGGCTCCTGCGCGCCGCCTTTTGTGTGTGCGAGGGTGCGAGAGGGCGCGGGAGGGCGCCCCGGGTGGCTCAGGGCTAGTTGGTGGAGGTTGGTGAGTTTTTCCTTTTTTGTTTTTGCTTTTGCAAAGTTGTGTCGATGGCTTGTCTGGCCCGGTGTGTTTGTTTTGTTTGTTTCCCTCGGCTCAGCTTTGTTGGTTTCGGGGGGCTTTCCGCCGGGAGGGGAGGGGAAGGGGACAGGGGAGAGCGAGCGGGAGCAGAGCGTGGAGAGAGGGAGGGGAGGGAGAGCTGCGAGTCGATTGTCTGGCTTCAAGACAGAAGTAGGAGGCAAAAAAAAAAAAAATCTCTCCAAAGATCTCGCTCGCTCTCACTCTCTCCCTCCCTCTCTCGTTCACTCTCTCGCTCTCAGAGCTGGTGTGCAGCCCAGGAGGAGTTGGAGGAGGAGGAGAAGGAAGAGGAGGAGGAGGAGGAGGACGAGGACGAGGAGGAGGAGGAGGAGGAGGAGGTGGAGGAAGAGGAGAGGCGACTGTCCGGGGGCCAAGTCCAGGGCAGCCCACAGTCAGCCATTCAGGAAAGCCATCGAAATCAGGAGGACTGGGAGAGCAGAGGCGCCGGGCGCGGGCGCGCCCAGGGAGCCCGGCAGGCCGGGGCGGAGGCCGGCGGCCCGCGGAGTGGCCGGAGCGCTGCCCGGGTCCGGGGGAATCAGCATGAAAGTGGTCCGCGTCGAGCGCTGCGCGGCGTCGTCCTGGCGCTGGGCCGCCGCCGCCGCCGCCGCCGCCGCCGCCGCCTGCCCCGGGCGCCCGGCGCGCGCCTCGCTCGCTGCGGCCGCCGCCGCCCGCTGTCGCCGGGTGGAGGCCGCCGCCGCCGCCGCCGCCGCTCCCCGCGGGCCGCCGCCGCCGGAGCCGCCGCCGGGTCGGGCCCGGAGCCGCCGGAGCCGCCGCCGCCGCGTCTAGCGCCGCCGCCGCCGCTGAAGTCGCTGCTGCTGCCGCCGCTGCTGCTGCCGCCGCCGGAGCCGCTGCTGCTGCCGCTGCCGCCGCCGCCGCACGCACATAGGGAAAGAGTCAAGGCGCCGGCGGCGGGGGAGAAATGATAGAGGAGAGAAAGGAGGGCAGATCACCACCTAGAAGCGCATCCTCGGTGCGCGCAGGGGAGAGAGAGACGGAGAGGGAGAGAGGGGCAGAAGAGGCAGCGCGGCGCCCGGAGCAGGCGAGGAGGAGGAGGAGGAGGCGAACACACACGCGCGCACGCACACACACACCGCGGAGAGAAAAGAACAGAGCATCAAAGTGATCAAATATGCTAAAAAGGGGGGCGCGGGAGGGAATGCGATTTATAGGCGCCGGGGCTGGCAGAAGTGGCTTCTCCGCGATCGGCTCACCGAGCTCTCTATATAGTGAACTTTGACACGACTGCTGCAACTTAGCGCACGTTGCCATGGCGACGGCGCGCCTTATAAGGCAGCCGCCGGGGTTGGCCTGGCCAGGCGCGCGCGCGCCGCCCCCTCGCCGTCATTGGCCGGAGCGCGCGGCGGCCCCGCCATGGCGGCCCGCGGGCGCAGCCCGGTCCTAGCGCGAGCGGCGTGGCGGGGCCGCGACGCGGGGCGCGCGGGGGGCGGGGACGCGGGGGCCGTGCCGTGGCGGGGCCGCCGAGGCTGGGCGAGGCGGGGGGGGGGAGGACGCGGAGATGGGCGCACGGCCGCTCGCCCGCCCGCCGGCCCCGGGGAGCGCGGCCCCCGGCTCTCCGCGCGGCCCGCACCCGAGGTTTCCGCCCCGGCGGGGAGCCGAGCGCGGCGCGCACACACAACGCCTCTTAAAGGCTCCGCGAGCGAGCGAGCGAGCGAGCGAGCGGCTCGCGAGGGAATCGGGGACTGCGCCTCGCACAACTTGGCGATGCCGCGCGGCGCGCCGCCCGGGGACTCGCGGCGCATCCCGGTGGCCTGTGGCGCCCGGGCCGGAGAAAAGTTCTCCGCCGAGGGGCAGCGGGCGGGGGCGGGACGCTGAGGCGAACGGAGCCCGCGGGCGTTCCCCACACGGAAGGTTTGGCCAAATCCGGGCGGTGGCACAGCCTTCGCTGGGTCGGCTCAGTTCTCTGGCTCGGTTAGGTGGCTCTTTTCCCACCCCCCACCCCCGCCCCAACTCTTTTTTTTTTTTTTAAGGGGGTGGGGGTGGGGAAGCCCTGGTGTGCCCGTCTGCTCTCGGCAGGGCTAACGTTTCTGGGGTAGGTGGCCTGACATCTAATTGCTCCAAGTAAGCATCTCGGATGCTGAGAAGCAGAAGTGGGCTTCCTCTCCTGGTCAAGGCGCAAGTGCAGTCGGTTTCCGCCAACTTTATCCTCTCTCGCTGGTCTTTGCAAACTCCGAAGCCAGCGCTCTGCCGCCCGGTCGTGGGGCCAAGGGAGAGGCCGCTCGGCTGGCTGACGGACAGGCGGGGGTGGCCGCAGCCTCGCCGCGCACACGCATCGGATGCACATTTGTCAATGTACGCAGACAAAGAATTCGGCGACTGTGTTCCTCCGTCGCAGAACAGTTGAGGACGGACCTCATTGTTCCTCAGCTGCCTTTTAAGCATTCATACAGTCATTAAAACACACCCAGAGATTCTGCCCCAAACTGGAAGTGAGACCAGCCCAAGGCTCACAGCAACCGCGCACAAGCCACGACTTCTCCCTCAGGAGAGCCCCTGCGACAACTTCAAAGCCTGCTCCCCCATGTGCGAAAACTATCGACCGACCGCGGCCCGTGTCTTTCAGCTCCAGGGTGTTTGGTCTTAAACATCAGATATATACAATTGCGCCTCTGGAATACACTGTATATTCGCACGCCTTTTCCTGGGCTACGGTTCTCTCACACTGATACCAGAAAATCATGATTCCACCAGACACACCCTGCACCGAGAAAAACTGTAAACCGCCAGTCAACCAGGTTGATGAACAATTAAAATATTTTACACAAAAGACGCTGAGCCCTAGGAAAAAAATGAACACTTATAAGGAGTAAATTGACGACTGCAGAAACACATCCCTGGTAGCGCGAAAAATTGGTGAGATAAGGTATTTTAAAAAGGAAACGCCACATTTAATTGACATGTGTAGATTGTAGTTTGTGTTCAATTCCCTTTGCCCACACATAGGCAGAACAGGAGGTACGAACTAGACGTAAGCAGACAGGGGCTGGTTTTTTAGGGAAGGAGAAATTCCACTTAAACTTTACTCCTGAAACTCCTTAGCCCTTGCTCTTTCCCCACTGAAGTCACACTTTTCGCTACAGCTGCAGGTGCTGGGATTATTTGAAAGTATTTAAAAAAAAAAAAAACACCCTAGAGTGGACCCTCAACTAAGATAAACCTGGTGTTTAATAAGATTACCACAGAGTGAAGCCAGACTGAGAACTTCAGGTTGATGAGAGACACAATATAGCTTTCTCCTGAAGAGGACCAGAAGGATGGAAAAGAAATCATTTCAAAGGAGACGGTTTTGGGTTTTTTCCTCTTCCTTTCCAACCTCTATGATTCGAGCAGTTGCCCAGTGCCACAAATGTCAGTTAATTAGGGGCAAACTCAGCCTAGATGTAGTGGGACTGGAATCGAGATGGGAAATCTAATGGGTATACTCATCTCAATTTAATAGATGAGAATAATTGATTATAGGGAAATTTTAATCTTGACTTTTGAGTGCGGAGCGGTCCACGGCAACATCATCTTTTATTAAAAAAAAAAAAAAGAAAAAAGAAAGAGAAAAGGGAGATCAGCTTCCATGGGTCATGTAGAGATTTTTGGAATCTGAAGTACGCTCTGATGGCCTTAGATTGAAAATAAAGAATTTCCCAAGCCATCTCTCCTGTGAAATTGGAGCCTGCCAGGCACACGACCACAGGGCTGCCATAAAGTCAGAGGTGTTTCTGTATTTTTGAGACTCATTCAGTCATGGAAGTGCTGTCAAAAAGGTTTTAAAAATCACCATATGAATTGTAGTTAATTTTACTGCATAGAAGACATAGGTATGGCAGACTGCAAAGGAAAAAGAAACACAAATATTTTAAATGTCTTCTTCAGAGATGCTGGCTTGCCTTGATGCCAAGATTAAAAACCTCAAAGACTAACCAATAAATATCAATATATTGTTCTTTTTAAAGGAAACCCAGGCCAGTCTCTTATTGCAGATGTAAATTTATTTTAATGAGAGGAATGACAAGCTTTAATTTGGCTGGAGAAAGCTGGAATAGCATTTCTTTTAATCTGGGGAGACAAACAAACACACACCCAGGAATATGATTTTTTTTTGCGGAAAGTGGCTGGATGGGCTGTAATTCTTTACAGATTAAATCACACTATGAATACAGGCCCCAGCAAATGCCGAGTTTAACTCTGAACTCAGTGGAAACCAGTTCTGTCCACCAGGATTCATTGAATTCCTCCTTTCCCCCAATCTCGTCCGTGTGTGTTTTTCTCTTCCACCACACTGGAGCTCCATGAATAGGGAAAGGGGCTTCCATTGTGTCCCTCTGAACTTCCAAGTCAATGCAATTTTTAACCACTGGCTTGTGGTACTTTGAAAATCACCAGGGGCTGTCAGAGTTGGGTCCTCTGAAAAATTTACAGTGCTAAATCAGAGCATATGCTGGGAGGGAAAGAATTGCTGAAGATTGGAGCAAGTACAGTATCTGTCTGCCCCCTAGTGTAAGAGCCCTCGCTGCCTAAAATTCAACTTTAAAAGAAAAGGAGCTCTTAAAGGGAAACGACTTTGGGCTCACGTAGGCATAGCAGAATGAAACTTCTGTACATTTTAATCTGAATAATTCTTCAGGATTTAAAATTAATTGGCTCTGGCGTGGTTGGACTGCACCGGGATCTCGCCACCTCTGCGTTCCCCGAGTCACTGGTGAAGAGGTGATTTTTTTTTTTTTGAACTGGGTTTATGTGAGTCCCCCTCACCCCCTCCTCTCTTTTTCTTTCTCTCTGTCTCTGTCGTCTCTCTCCCTGGCTTTTTAAAAATGAGGAACCGTTCCCCGAACGTTCTGGACAGAGCACAGAATTACTGCTTAAGTCAGCCCGGCGCGGTTGCAAATAGACAGCCAAAAGGTAAACGTTTGCCAGAAACCCGCACGCCAGCTCCGCCACCCCGCCGATGGTGAGTACCCCGTCTCGTCGCGGTTCTCCCGGCTTAGCCGGGCGCTCGCCTCCCCGACCGGCGGCCGAGGGCGCCGGCCGCCGCTTTTCTCGAGCCCTGCCTGCCTGCCTGCCTGTCAGTTGCACAAGGTTGCAAAACGAAGCGCAGAGACAAATCCAACAGTAAATTCGTATACTTAGCGCGAGCCTGGCAGCTCCTTTGCTAGAAAACCCAGTCGCCTGCTCCTTGGAAAGCCACGCTTATCCGACTGGTTTTCGGCTTTCTCTATGGAAGGAAATGAGTTTCAGGAGACAGGACGAGGAGATGGGAGGCACCGCAGTCTTTATGCTTCGGCTTAATCATATTTTGGCAGCTTTGCAATTGTATTTTCCCCCCTCTTCCCCCTGCACCACCTCTCCTACCACACACATGTAATAAAACATGGCAATGCATTGAATTGACTCTGTCCCCCCTTCCCCAAAACCCCTTAAACCACAGTCCTAGGCATTCCATACACGTTAGCAAACCGAATTTCTGAAAAGCCCCCAAGTCATCCCCAACCCCACACAGCACAAGGAGGAAAGTGAGAAAGGAGAGAGAGAGAGAGAGAGAGGAGAGAAAAATACTGTAAGTAAACATACCAAAACCATATTTGCCTTGCTCAAGGTCCCAAACCGCTTGCATCTTCCTTCTAAACTGGAATAACTCTCCTTTAGTTTGGCGAGGGAAATAAACGCTTTGTTGGCCCCCTGAAAAGATGTGTCTTGGATAATTAAAGAGAATCGCCTCCTCGGTGTTTATCTAAGCGATTGTGCAAACTGATAAAAAGTAGGCACTAGCCTGCAGGGAAAACGAGGAAAGGTGACGGGAGAGATCTTCCACCTCAAGGAAGTGCTTCCCCATGTATTAGGCGCTAGCTCTCAGCCCTGGAAAACCCTGCACACTAACTTTAGAGAGACAAGGTTTCAAGGAGTCTGTACATAGCTGCTGAGGAATGCAAGCCTCGCCTTTAAGAAAAAAAACCCCAAACCGTAGGTAGGAGATGTCTGGAGTGATCCTTGTCTCTCATCTCATTCCTTAGAAGGAAGAGTGCGTTGTTACACCTTGTTTGGGGCTGGAAAGACGAGACTTTAAAAACACCCGTCCAATTGAAAAAAATCTCCCAACTTAATGAGTTTAGTCGGAGGCTGGAGCAAACGGCTCAGCCTCAGCAGAAAACCGCCAACAACTATGGGCGATACTGCAAAGCAAGACGACCGAGGTGCAGCCAGATCCCACTGTTTGGGGTCCAGAGGGATGGAGGCTAATCCTAAAGCAAGTTGGAAAAAAACAGAGGTGGGAGAAGAGAGGAAAAAGCAGCAGCCTTGCAGGCTGGCACGCAGGCTTCCCTTGTCCTGGATCAAAGATAGAACTTGAAATAGGAGGGCAACGTTTTTTTCCTAAGAATCCCTTGGATTCCTCATTTCCTACTTTTAACTCAAATTCCCCCCAGTGAGTCCCCCCTCCCCCTTGGATTTGTGTCTCTCCCCCTTTCCAGTCCCCATTCTAGAACTTTCCTGAAGAGGAACTCTATGTTTTTTTGGGGGGAGGGGTTCCCCATTTCATGCCTCCGTAGAATGAATGCCCAGTTCACCCCCTCTTTTAATCTTCTCCCCGAAATGAATAAAGGGAACAGGAATACTGTTAACCAGCAAAAACTGAGGATAAACTAAGACTGCCTCCTCACACTTTTAAAACGGTTTTAAGTAATGGATTTTTTGGGGGGGTTGTTTTAAGAGGAGAATAATGGGGAAACACAGATCTTTTATTTTGGGAGACTGTTATAGTAAGATGTATGTCAGACTTGACAAATGGAACTAACGCTCTTGGGCTGCTTCTTGTCCTTGTCTTAAACAGGAATTAAGTTAAACACAGTGCTGAATGTTAATTACATGTTTACTGGCTAATGAAAATTACAAATGGTTTTGCCACCTCAAACAATGATGAAAACTCTGAAGACACTGTAATTATATACTTTGAGGGAAATAACTCAGAATATTGATCATAAGAAGTGTAAATCTTTTTTTAACTATTCATTAATACCATAAATACGGGCTGCAGAAGTTCTTCCTTGCGGTTTGTCTCATCAGTTGCAGGAGCGGGTGGAAGGTGAGGCTCCTGAGGGGTGAACTCATTCTCTGAGTAGAAGGAGGCCACTTGTGTAACTGGGGGGTGCCCCTCCCTTGCGCCCCGCCCCTTCAACCCCAGCTGAAGGTCGAGCGCTGGTTGAACCAGGAGGCCAGCTCAGGGCAGGTGAAGGTGATCGCAGCGGGCCTGCCCCTCCTCCCCCCTCCCCAGCTCTCCTCTCCTCTCCTCTCCCTCCTCCCTTTCTCGGCAGGGCTGATGGAGGACTGCCTTCCTCACCTGGCCTCCTTCCCCCTAACCTGGCACTCTGGGTTCCTGGTAGGGACCATCCAGACCGGGCAGCTGACCTCAGTACAGCCGTGCCACCCTGACAACTTGAGTTCCCTCCTGCTGTCAGAGGTGGCTAGAGCAGGTCATTGGTGGGGTGGGAGTTAGGGATGGAGGTGGCTCTTGGGTACGGTGGCTCTGGTCCATGAACCAGAACTGGATTCCCTGGCCTGAGGAGCAGAGAAATTTTTTGTTTTTGTTGTTGTTGCCATTTTCTTTTAACTTTGGCCAGGGTTGGCAGCCGCTTAGATCTGGAGGGGTCAAAGGTGAGGGCTGCACTAACCCTAAAAGACTGACCTGCCCTGGCCAGAAAGCCAAGTGGCCAGTGGAGCTGGGAGTTTGTCAGCCACTGCCTGCCTTTTTTGAGGGGGCGCTGGTGAAACCCACACATGCCTAGGAGCCGTGGGGGCACAGCACCGAGTGTGGGGTTTAAGTGGAATATTGCCGGTTTTTAAAAAAGTGCCCTGGGCTTGTGGGACTGGAGTCCTCTTTCCCCCTGAGAATTCCCAAGGCGCTGGGCTTTGTCTTAGAAGGAGTGGAGTTTCTGAATGGTGTGAAAGGGACAGAGAGGGTCGCTTCAAATCGATTTTACTTGTCCTTTCTGTCTTTTCGGATCAACGCCCTTCAATGGGCACAGAGGTGCTCTTTCAACCAAAAACTTGTGCTACATTTTCTGCCTGTATTGGTGCTAAATACAATAAGCGTTGGGCAGATTTTTTTTTCCCTTTGCCCTCCAAAGCAAGAAAGCACCCTAATTAAATTGTTTTATATGGACAGTCAAGACGGACCAATTAAGTATGCATTAGTATAAAGATAGAGTCTGCAGATAAGGCAGTTGAGAGGGTCCTGGCCAGGACAAAGGAGAAGGCGCCAGCGTCCGGGAGGGGGGGCGTTGACCCAGCGAGGTCGCACACTGCAGAGGCCCGGGCCCCAGGTGAAAGGGGCACAGGCCGGCCAACAGGTGGGTGGCGGTGTTGCAGACCTTCAGGACGGTGCCCGTGGCCCAAGGGCGGTGGAGCCCCAGGGGCTGGTGTCCCTCACTCTCCTCCCCTGGAAACAGAGCAGTCTCAGGTGGCTTCGACCGTCGGACGTCGGAAGTGCCGGGCCCCATTCGGGGTCGGGCCCGCTTCCTGGAGTCTCAGGTCCCCGGTGCTGCCCTGCAGCAACGAAGCGGGGTGAGCCCGGGCGGAGGCCGGCAGGGCCAGGGGGCGCAGACACTGGCCGCGGCCCCCCAGCCTTGGGGGCAGAAGTCCTTCTCATAACATCTCCAGGCTCGGCGCTTTCCCGAAGCGAAGGAAGGGGACGCCTCTGTGCCAGGAAAGTGAAAGTTCGCCCTGGACGCCATCCCGGCCAGAGGGGCGTCGACCCGCCGACGCGGGACAGGGCAAAGGCAGAGAGGGTCCGAGAAAGGGTGGCGAGCGGCGGAGCTCCTGGTCCAGCGAAGGGCAGCCCTGGCCTTCTCCACCCCCTCCTCTCCACCCCCCGAGGTTGTGGGCGGGTGGAGAGCAGCTCGCCCCGAAGGAGGTGACCCCCGGGGCAGGGGCTGGGGCCTCCCCGCCGCCCCCGCTCGGGCCGTGATAGGTGGTCCCCGGGCCGCAGGGCCGCACGGGGCGCCGTCGGAAGGGGCGGCGTGGGGGGAGCCCAGGGAAGTAGTTGAACGTCAAAAGTAAAAAGGTGGAAAAGCTGATTTTCCAGGCGCGCTGGAGCCCCCTCCCTCGCCGGTTGCCGAGGCCGTAAATCAGCGGCCGGCGGCGGCAGGGGCGGGCGAAGCCCCTCGGCGGGCCCGGCGCGGCCCCGCCCGGCCCGTGCGCACCTCCCGGTGGGCCCCGGATCGATCCGCAGCCTAGCCGAGGATGTCACCGCACTAAATATTTACTGATCACACACAAATAGCCGGGGCTCCAACGATTTTCCTCTGTGAGAAGAGCGCGGAGAGAAGGGTAAATCATTTTATTAGTGTGGATAAAGCCCAGAGCACACTCCGGCCTGGAGTGTTTTAAGATGTGTCTTCAACGGGATGAAAAGAGTTAGGGAAATCGATACGGAGTGATTAGAAGCCCCCGGGGTGACCGAGGGGGACTGGGCTTTCAGGGATTTGGCGAGGCTGCAGGGGGAGGGGGGAGCAGGCCTCGCGCGGGGCGGCCCGACCAGCTCCCAGAGAGCTCCCGGCGCAGGCCGGCTTCCCCCTCTCCTCGACGGGAGACGCGAGGGCGCAGCCGGCGGCAGGGAGGCCGCCCCGCCCGGCTCCGCCGCGCCGGCGCCCAGTGAGGGCCGAGCCGGCCGCCGCGCGGTGCAGGGCTCGGGAGCTGCGCGGGCTCCGCGCGGCGAGCCGCAGTGGCCAGGTGCCCCCGGGAGGCGGTCGCAGGTGCGGCGCGCCCTCGAGGGAGCGTGCGTCTCGCGCGGTCTGTCCGGGCTGCGCCCAGGAGGACAGGTGTGGCCCACACGAGTTGCATCCCTCTCCCTAGCATTTCGGGGGGGCTCCCGCCAGCCGTGTCCCTCCGCACCCACAGCTTTCTCCCCTTTAAGTCCCTGCTCCTCGTCTTCCATATTTGCGAAGAGGACCTGGTGAG